TGGTAATACCTCTTTAAAAATAATTGTAAAAAATCTGACAAATGAATGAATTATGTGAATTTTGAGGGTCTTAAAGCATTTTGCAACGTTTAATTCCCTTACTAAAAACGACATATTTTTTCTTCTGGGTAGAAATGGACCTGAATGCGTTGTGAGGGTTAAAAATGTAGTAATGTCATTGTACCTGTGTCTCCAGGAGGCCCTGGGTATCCTGGTCTGCTCTCCCCTTTATTGCCCTTAAACCCCCGTGGGCCTGTGTCCCCTAAAAGAGTGCCAAACATGTTATGCAATTAAAATACAAACCCAAAGCCAAATCCATTTACATAATCTGGAAGTGTTACAGCCAGACGCATCTGTTACCTTTGACTCCTGGAGGTCCTTGGATGCCCGGAGGTCCTGGGTAGCCCTGAGTGCCATGTCTGCCGGGATAGCCCTGGTGCCCGCTGGACCCTTTAGGTCCTGGAGATCCAGGGGGTCCCGGGGGTCCTTTAATGGTCTCACAGTGTTCACAGCGCTGAGGGCTCATCATCTGCAGTAGCTGCGGCAGCTGATCTGATAGAGATGCATTACAGTGGAGATCACTGAACAGCACTAGATGCACAAGGGGTCATATGATGAGAAATCAAAATTTACTTGACTTTCATTCTAAAAAAATTATAATAATAAAAAACACACCCTATCAACATTTACCCAGTCTATTTTCATATGCATCTTATTACACTAAAATGTCAATCATCTGGTGAAGCAACAGACTCTCTGTGGTCTGTTATACCACCACATTTACATGTCAATGATGCAATGCCAAAACATGTCCAATTTAATCCTAAGAGTTGGAAAATGGGAAGAAAATGGTCATAAGGAAACTCATGAGACTGTTTTGTAGCACAAAAAAAGAAGCATGACTAATGTTGCTGTGTTCCAAGAGTCAAGTGAAGTAAAAATAAATCCACGATGGTGGACAAGGCAACAGAAAAGTTGATAGTAAAATATAATTTAGTCAATATTGAAACATCAATAAAAATGAGTTCACCGGATGTTTACATATGGTGTGTATTTTTAAATCTAGGGTCATTAGAAAAATGTGCCAGTGCAACATTTCTACAAAATGATATGTTGATTCTTGCAAGTTTTGCGACACTTTCAATGTTTGGTTTTATCCAAAACAGATAAAAGTGAATCTTCTAACGTTTTATTATGGGTCACTGTACTGTATGCATCGCAGCAGTTTGAAAAATGTAAAGTCTGATGAGTGTCACTTAGTGCTGGGCGATATACCCACACGGTATACATGTTAATAAAACAGCATACCGGTACAAGTGGCTAAGCAACATGGACAGCTTCGTGAATTGAGAGGGGATCCCTGTTAACTGCATAGTTAGAGAACTTTTAGAACTATTAATAACACACAACTAATTCTTTAGGTGCTGAAGACGAACGCAAAGAGGAGAAAATAGTGTAGCAGGCGCAGCAAACTCACTTCAACATGCATGGAATATTGGAAGAAAATCCTAAATACTGAATTGGGGGTTTATATGAATGTATCTCTGAGGGGAACTGACTGTCTTCAGGAAAGTTCCGATGGTATTTTCTTTTCATCTTACCTCCATATATAATGCATATTAATGTAGTATTTAAAACCACAGCAGCTGCTTTGTTTACAGCGGTAACCAAGGAAACGCTGTATCGCTGTTGTTCCAGAAGCGCCACCTGCTGTCAGAGAGTGAATCTGCGTCTCATTCAACTCGTCTGCTGTTTGTTTCGTTTGTATGTTTTATGTAGCATAATTTCACAAAGCCAAGGCATTTGCAGATTTTTTCCAAGGCAACTTTTGAAATTTTCATTTAAATTTACATTTTTCAACTATTTCAATTAAACAAAAATAGTCAAGAATAATAACCCTGATAACATGCCACCATATTCAGGTAGACTGAAAAATAAATAAGATTTGAGGTCTTGTTGTTGAGCAGCAATATGAAATGTTAAATGTTTTTCATATCAAAGATTAAATCTCAAATCACAATATTTGCCAAAATAATCACAATTCTGAACAAATCGTGCAGCTCTAGTGTGGAGCAAACACACAGTACAGAAATATTTAATAAACATGTTCAATTTCTCTAGAGGGAAAAATACATTATTTTAAAAGAAGCGACTGATTTGCATATGTCTGCTACTGATTTGCCCACAAACAGAAAATAATAAATATACATAGGAAATCTCCTCTAGTTTCCACGGCATGCAGTTTGCCGGTTTGCTCTGACAGCACGCTGAAACCAGCTTAGTATAACTGTCAAGCTGTCAAATATAAACGCTTCAAAGTGCTCAGAAGTGCTCTGCTGTCCCATGTTACCTCCTTCAGGAGGCGGAGACCATCGTGTTTCTGGTGTAAATAGGCAGGATTTGTTTAAAGGTGAGTGAGTCGTGTAATTTTGCAAACCTCTCCTTTGCTGCCTCTGGGTCCCACTTCACCCTGATTCAGGAGGAACGAGAAAGAGGAAACGTTTTATGATAAAATGAGAGCGAGATCTGTTATTAAACACACAGACAGGCTCAGTATTCAGCGGGTGACGGGAGGGAAAGCTCTTCAAAGCCACAGCCAGGGAAACCCCACGAAATGATTCTCAAGCCCTGCGAGTGTTTGCAGACTGCGTCACGTAAACATTTCAGTGTCGGACGGTTCAGACTACAATACTGTGTACGAGTTCATACAAGCAAGCAGTGAAGCTACTTTTTCAACAAGTAGAAGCACAGTGTTGATTTTTCTCATGATTTATTTCGTATGCATCCTTTGTGCCAGATAAATACTACTCTGATTGTAGATATAAGCTATATAAACAGTTATATATTTAGAAAGACATACCCTCCTAAATGGCTTTGCCCGTACAGAAATGTAGTCAAATTTGCATATGTACATAATGTTAATAATATCTATATGATGCTTTTTATATTGTATTATATGTAGCAACTATATCAGCAGCTGCTTTGTTTACAGCGGTAACCAAGGAAACGCTGTATCGCTGTTGTTCCAGAAGCGCCACCTGCTGTCAGAGAGTGAATCTGCGTCTCATTCAACTCGTCTGCTGTTTGTTTCGTTTGTATGTTTTATGTAGCATAATTTCACAAAGCCAAGGTCAGACCGTTCTGTTTTTTGTCTTCAGATTGGAAAATTATTCAATCTAATTTACATCAAAAACCTGTGATAAACCATGAAACCATCAGAATCCTAAAAAAAATGTTTTACAGATTTTTGGTCAAACCACCCAGCACTAGTGTCACTAAAACGTTAATGTTCTATTGCGTTTGAAAATAGCACAAAACCTATGCTAATACTAACCAATAGTGTTAACAAAAGCAAATGTGATATAAAAACAGATTTGCTGAGATTTTTGCTCATTTAGCTTGATAAAAGTCTTTGAGCTCGTATTTCATGGGACTCATAAGTGCAGTGCTGTACCGGGTGTGCTACCGAGCAAGTTTACTTACTAATTTGTGTGAAAAGGAATAAAGTTGTTGGTGTTTTACTGCCACTAATGCTTATTTCAACTGGAAACTGGAGTGAATTGTATGTATAGGTAAGTTTTTGGAGTTTTGCAAAAATGCATCATGGTTCCCAATGAGTCTTGCAAACCTCTCCTTTGCTGCCTCTGGGTCCCACTTCACCCTGATTCAGGAGGAACGAGAAAGAGGAAACGTTTTATGATAAAATCAGAGCGAGATCTGTTATTAAACACACAGACAGGCTCAGTATTCAGCGGGTGACGGGAGGGAAAGCTCTTCAAAGCCACAGCCAGGGAAACCCCACGAAATGATTCTCAAGCCCTGCGAGTGTTTGCAGACTGCGTCACGTAAACATTTCAGTGTCGGACGGTTCAGACTACAATACTGTGTACGAGTTCATACAAGCAAGCAGTGAAGCTACTTTTTCAACAAGTAGAAGCACAGTGTTGATTTTTCTCATGATAAAAGTCTTTGAGCTCGTATTTCATGGGACTCATAAGTGCAGTGCTGTACCGGGTGTGCTACCGAGCAAGTTTACTTACTAATTTGTGTGAAAAGGAATAAAGTTGTTGGTGTTTTACTGCCACTAATGCTTATTTCAACTGGAAACTGGAGTGAATTGTATGTATAGGTAAGTTTTTGGAGTTTTGCAAAAATGCATCATGGTTCCCAATGAGTCTATTCATAATATCGGCTAATCTTCAGCTTGTTTGCCGTTAAACATTCATTTTTGATTTATCTATTTTTGGAGTTTACTCTATATAACAGAAGTCACAAACAATTTGGTGACAGCTAGGATTCAGTTTAAGGCATTTCTAGGTCATTTTTGTGGTATCCACAAGCAATTCAACTATAATACAATTCTGAAATCAATTACATCAAGGCTATAAAATGGTTGGTTTTCAAGGCAGAAGTGATTCAAGTTGACTCCATCGGAGAGATTATTGTCTCCTCATGATAAAAAAAAAATAAAAATCTCTGGAGTTTCTGTCAAAGTACAGTAGAGCCGATGAGACAATTATGGGTGAGGCAGCTCACTAGGTTTGTAAGTGGACCACAGGGGAAAAAAGTAAAATGATAACAGAATGAACGATATTCCTTTAATTCAAAGCAAACTGTAAAAACTCTGATAGCTCAGCAAGTTTCCGTAACAAAAGCTCCTTTCTAGTGAACTTTGCTTTTATCTAACAGCTTTAATTGGATGCCGCATGCTATTCTCGGCTCTTTACGTATCAGGCTTGTTCGTATTAAAAAAGGGAAAAGGAAAAGCTCCTTGGGCTCTTTGTTCTCGAGAGAATAATGACCTTGAACAAGGTCAGATACTCACTTCTCAAAATGTCCCCACAGAGTTTTATTAAGTACTCCTCTGAGGGAGGCTTACCCTGAAACACATATCGAGTCACTCATTAGATGGCGTCGCTACATGAAAAACACATACAGCTTTCAAAGAAGTTAAAGGCTTGACAGATAACAAAGGAAGAAGCATAAGAAAGGAACTCAATTACACAGTCTTGACCATAAGGCCTTGTGGTTTCTTTCATGAATCAGCTGAAATGATGCGTCCTGACATTGCCCCAGCCCATGCCGTATACTTCGTTCATGACGTGTTTATTTCTTGTGAAAGGAAAGACCTGGTGGCTATAACAAAAATGTTAATTGCTATCGTGTAGTTGTGAGAAATGTAAGAATACTCACAGGCTTCCCTGGAAAGCCCGGAGCGCCGGGAAGCCCTGGCAAACCGTCCTGACCGGGGAATCCACGCGGCCCGACTACACCCGTGTGTCCCAAGTCTCCCTTCTGTCCGTCACGACCTTTGACCCCAGTCTCACCCGGCGTACCTTTCTAGTAGATTAAATACAGCGCTCTTAAAGCCTACTGTATACTTGGATGTGTATTCTTCATGCAAGTGAGACTGTTGGATTTAAAAGCAGCCCTGAGCTGCACAATTAATTCAATTAAAATCATGATGTGGCCTTGCGTGATTACTGAACTGTGAAAAAGCTGCATATCAAACGAGCGTATCATTTAAATGCATAGCATGCTGCTCTGTTCTGTAGTGTACTATACATACTCCAAGCATGCTTGCTTATTTTTGGTTTGCTTATGATATGCATTTGCAGATTTTTTCCAAGGCAACTTTTGAAATTTTCATTTAAATTTAAATTTTTCAACTATTTCAGTTAAACAAAAATAGTCAAGAATAATAACCCTGATAACATGCCACCATATTCAGGTAGACTGAAAAATAAATAAGATTTGAGGTCTTGTTGTTGAGCAGCAATATGAAATGTTAAATGTTTTTCATATCAAAGATTAAATCTCAAATCACAATATTTGCCAAAATAATCACAATTCTGAACAAATCGTGCAGCTCTAGTGTGGAGCAAACACACAGTACAGAAATATTTAATAAACATGTTCAATTTCTCTAGAGGGAAAAATACATTATTTTAAAAGAAGCGACTGATTTGCATATGTCTGCTACTGATTTGCCCACAAACAGAAAATAATAAATATACATAGGAAATCTCCTCTAGTTTCCACGGCATGCAGTTTGCCGGTTTGCTCTGACAGCACGCTGAAACCAGCTTAGTATAACTGTCAAGCTGTCAAATATAAACGCTTCAAAGTGCTCAGAAGTGCTCTGCTGTCCCATGTTACCTCCTTCAGGAGGCGGAGACCATCGTGTTTCTGGTGTAAATAGGCAGGATTTGTTTAAAGGTGAGTGAGTCGTGTAATTTTGCAAACCTCTCCTTTGCTGCTTCTGGGTCCCACTTCACCCTGATTCAGGAGGAACGAGAAAGAGGAAACGTTTTATGATAAAATGAGAGCGAGATCTGTTATTAAACACACAGACAGGCTCAGTATTCAGCGGGTGACGGGAGGGAAAGCTCTTCAAAGCCACAGCCAGGGAAACCCCACGAAATGATTCTCAAGCCCTGCGAGTGTTTGCAGACTGCGTCACGTAAACATTTCAGTGTCGGACGGTTCAGACTACAATACTGTGTACGAGTTCATACAAGCAAGCAGTGAAGCTACTTTTTCAACAAGTAGAAGCACAGTGTTGATTTTTCTCATGATTTATTTCGTATGCATCCTTTGTGCCAGATAAATACTACTCTGATTGTAGATATAAGCTATATAAACAGTTATATATTTAGAAAGACATACCCTCCTAAATGGCTTTGCCCGTACAGAAATGTAGTCAAATTTGCATATGTACATAATGTTAATAATATCTATATGATGCTTTTTATATTGTATTATATGTAGCAACTATATGTCAACAATATATATTTTATTTATAAATTCAATTTTATCAAAAAAAAGTATTAAAATGTATATGTATGTCTATATATATATATATATAATAAATTACATCTTTTACATTTACATCTATAATGTCAACATGCATTGACGGGTTTATAGATGCATGTGTCCAAAAATGTATTACGCAAACATACTTATTTGTATGGGCTAGATATATATGTTAATATTATTCCCATTACTAATAGGTATCATATATGTTTTTACTACAAATGACAATATTTCATATATGGAAATTGCTGTTTCATAACAGAGATGTGAAGTTTTGTTTTGATTCTGCATGCTCTGACACAAATCACTATATTAGTTGCTGGAGCATTTATATCGTCAAACAGAGACCGTAAATTAACACTAAACCCTCAGACCTTTCAAAAGATCTATAATTTGTTAACATAATTAATATTTTTAGAAAGTAGTTTATATAGTAACTGTAAACAAATTGATGTGAAGCCCCAAGAGGATGAAATATGTCCATACAGTGTATTATATTTGCGTATGGGTAATGTTGATGAACGCTGCTTGCAAATATACATGGACCAATGGCTTTTTTATTCAGAAACCTGACTTTATTCCATCTAAAGATTTCTCAAGCGTGTGACTGACAAAGACCTACACTCTTATCTCACACAAGTGTCTGTGACTAAGGTTTCTGGGGATTTACTGAGCTTTTTCACAGAAATCAGGAGTTTCTTCTGCAAAGAAAAAATGATTCTACAGGATAAAAGTATTAGAATGTAGCAGTTCAGTTTAAGAACTTTTTATA